TCCGTGCTGATCGTGACTATGTTATCCAAGAGGACTTTATGAAGGCTGTTCGCAAAGTTGCTGACTCTAAGAAGCTAGAATCCAAGCTTGACTACAAACCTGTATAAAATAGCCCACCTTTTTAATCTTAATTGTACAGTTTAAAAGGGTTTAAAAACATATAAACCTTAAATGGCAGAGGAATCTGATGGTGGCTCTATCGTGTCATTCATTACAAGTGTATATCTGTATGCTGCAGACAGTAGGTGACTACTAACTTTCGTGTTCTGCTGCATTATATACGTACTGACTTTTTTTTTAAGCCATAGTTTGGCTGTTGAAAAAATATTGTGTTGAAAATGATTTTGAAAAGCAAGTGTTAGCACCGAGACAGGTCTGTCTTAACAGTGTAATGCATTCTCTTGTATACAAATGACACTTAAAGCCTTTGTGGTGTGATGGTCAAAATACAAGTTTATAGATTTTTGATGAATTTGATTCATTTTCCCTAGGCCTCAATAAAATTTAAATTTACAAGAATATGACCAGCTATTTGTTGAATATTTATATAACACTTACAGATCTCCTGTGGCATTTTCATGATGAATCAGAAGTTTTATAAAGGCGTATTTTGTTAGCGTTAACCGAGGACAATGATTTATCAACATTGGAAACAGACCTCTGGGAAGAGGATCGAGGGTATGGTATGACAGGGTGTAAAATTGGACACTGGTGTTGCAGAATTTGAGATGTGCCCCTAGAAGGACTTGGACAGACCACTTGCCCTTTAGTGTACTGTTAAAATGTTGGTCAACTTATACAATATTTAATAGCAATAAGTTTCCAAAAGAAATATGAAAGATTTTCATTTCATAATTACTCAGTTTCTAGGCTTTTGTACAAAGACTTCATTTAGCCTGATCACTTATTCTGAAGAGAGTGTGTGTTTTAGCTAAATATGTGTAAGCAGAATAGAAATGAGTGATTATAAAAGAAAGATAAACAGTTTTCTGTGAATAAAGAAATTATGATTATAAGTGCTAATGATGACGGATGTTTTCTCGGTTTTTAAATATACAACAGCATTAAATAAATATAATCAATTGTCTGAAATTAAAGCTTTGAGAATTAAATGTCAATGTTAATTTGAAGTCTTCGACAGAGTCAAATTTTCACAGGGTGAGAGGGCATGCCCTTCTATGTGTCAGCATTTGCTGATGCACAACTTTTGCAATCAGAGACTTTAAAGTGCATAAACTCAAAACACACAAATATATATAGTGAAAAAATCTGTCTAATTGTTGAAGTAATGAAAAATGTCAGTAATGCCCAGGTTGTTAAGATTGGTGAAGCCTTAAAGTAAAAGTTTATAGAAACATATTAAAAAGTCACTCGAAGTATTATTACACAGATTTTCTTTAAGCTTTTTGTGGATTCTTAATTCAAATTACGAATGATTTTTTTTTGTTTTGAAAAATATCCGATACGATTTGTTTGAACCATACTTCCTAGTAGAAATATTTAATTTTTAATTATACCTGGTGTGAAGGATAAAAATTGGCACAAACTGGTTGTATGAACATATGAAATAGGTATGGAAGTAAACCATTTAGCCCTTCAGTAAAAACCAAAAGAACTGCGGATGCTGTAAATCAGGAACAAAAACAAAGTTGCTGGAAAAACTCAGCAGGTTTGCCAGCATCTGTGAAGGGAAAAAAGTTAACGTTTCAGGTCCAGTGATCCTTCCTCAGAACAGGTCACCGGACCCGAAACGTTAACTCTGTTTTTTCCTTCACAGATGCTGCCAGACCGGCTGAGCTTTTCCAGCAACTTTGTTTTCATTCAGCCCTTCAAGCCCACTCTGGAATTCAATGAGATTATGGCTAATTTGTTTCGAATTCCACATTCCCATTAACTTCTGAAAAGCTTTGATTCCCTTGCCTAACAAGAATCTATTTATTTCTTAAAAATATTTAATGACCTGGTCTCACTACCTTCTGAGGTAGAGAAATCCAAAGTGTCTCAGCCATCTGAGAATATTTCTCCTCAGCTCTGCCCCGAAGAGGTAACCACTAATTTTTAAATAGTGCCCGCTAATCCTTTACTGACCCATAAGAGGAAATACCCTTTCCTTGTCCACTTTGTCAAGACCATTCGATACATTTTAATCAAGTCACTCTCATTCTAAATTCCAGTGGAAAGGAGCCCATCTATTAAACCTAGCCAAGACAACCCACTCATTCCAAGAACATCGTTTTATGTTTGGTGTCCCTTACAAATAAAGAAGGACATCCTGTTAGTCAGCTTGATTTACGTGCTGTACCTGCATACTAATCTTTTGTAACTCCTGCACTAGAACACTAAATCCTTCTGTACCTTTGGAATTCCATAATCAATGTAAGTAGTAATTGGGCCTAATCATCTGTTTTTAGTTTGCAATTTCTAAATATTCTATGTAAAGCTAATGAATAGGATTACAAGATTCAGTGAATGTCAGATATTGTATAATAGTGTTTCTAGGAATGCAACATAAGGTAAGTTACAATGTCCACCTTTCTTGTCTGTGTCCTTAAATATATTTTAGGAAAACCTTGTTACTTGCTTTCCAAAAGAAACACAAAAACATTAGCTGCTAATTTTGTGTAATTTTAAAAGTAATCATGACTCAGTTCAAATAAATAACTAAACCAATTAGTTCAATTCTTGTGTTTGCCTGACCATAGTTCCCCATTAAAATGATTGAAATTAATTAGATTTTTTTTGTTTATCTAGACAGTCATTAATGACTTGTTAAGAGTCTACTTCTATGGATTCTGGTGCTTCAGAGAGACGAGACAATGATTAACTGCAAACGGGCTATTGACATCAGCCATTGCAGTATCCTTATTTAAAATAAATCCATATCTCTGGTGGATATTTATTGTTTAGCAGATAAATCACGAGAATATTCGGGCTGCTTCTTCTTAATCTATTTTAGTGCCCAGGCTTGTCACACTTACTGCTGCCCAAGCTGAAATGGGTTCATTTCTCACACTGAGGGTAAAGCTTTTGAGCCTTCCTAACCTGTAACCTATGAGACAATTGATATTGTGTTAATCAACAAAATCATTGGGGAACCAATTCAAACTTTAAGTTAAAATTACCGTGGAAACTTGTAATTGACAGTATTATTATTGGGTGTTAGCAACTTTACTTGATATCTAAGTTGTGTGTAAGTGTATATGATACAGTGCAAATCCTGATTACTGGTATCAATACAGTTGTTTTTCAACTTTGGCTGAATTGTTGAACTTCAGATTTCTAAATTAACTGAGTAAAATGATGAACCTCAATGATAGTGTATGATCTATTTTTCACTATCTCCATACAATACTTGCAATTATACTTTTACAATATACATTGTTTTCAAAAAAAGCAACCCATTTCAGTTACGTTGTACGAACATTGTAAATTTTGCAAAAAAAACACAACTTGGTAACCTTTTATTTTTAATTTCTAAATTTTGCAGCCATATTCTATTAGTAAATTACCACACACAAGATGTCACAAACAGATGTTTCCTTTAAATTTACTATTTAATTGTAGGACTTTAGAAGTCAGTGGCAGCAGGCCTTTTTATTATAAAAGGAGTCACAACCAGGCCTGATTATGTTCCTCACTGTAAATCTGCATATTTTCAGCACTTGACTAAACAGTCAATAGCATACCAATTTACTGAAGCACGTTTTCTAGTCTGGCTGTATCACTTGATCACTTTTTCTGCTGCTGCCATTATGCTCTTTGGTGCAATGCTTATCATATTCTGACAGACCTTCAGTTGAGACAGTAAAATCTTAAAATATAACAGACAGTTATGCTGCTAATGGTAACGCAAGAAGCTGCGTTACAATACGTCTATAATAAGAAATGGCAAAAATTTCAAAATTGGGTTTTGATCACCTAGACCAATGGGGATAGCAGAGGTTCTGTGATTGACTTGAGGAAAGTGAAGCCTCAATAGCTTATGCATTCAATTTCTGTGGGTTTGGATAATGTCAGTGGGGGTGGGTGCTTGTGATAAAGAGGAAGGGACATTGAATAAGATGGTGAGTGCTGGGGTTGGTAGGTCAGAGGGTGAGTGCTGAGTCGAGTAGGGGGGTGGCGGGGAGGTTCGAAGAGTTGGTGAAGGCGAGTGATAGACATCCCTGGGTAGTTGCTGAGGAGATCGGGTTGATGGTGGTTAGTGGCCATCGTAAGGTTTGTGTCAGTGAGAGGTGCTGCAAAGTTATGGGTCTGCGGAAGCGTTGTTGGTGGGGGGGGGGGGAAGAGGGGCCTCGACTAAGGCGTCGTATTGGTAGCGGTGAGTGGTCTATGGATTTGGGGGGGGCGGTAGGAGGACGGGTGAAGGTCAATGTTGGCGGTTTTTGGGGTGGGGGGGATGGCGATATCATTGGGGGTGGGGTCAGTGCGCGAGTTCCAACGGTTTCAGGATGGGGGGTGGCGGTGAATGAGGTACGCTACCTGGAGCCAGCCGATTGGTCGCGTGCTGGCCGTGTCTTGCGGCGTGATGACGTTGTGTTGATGTTGGTTTCCAACAGCATGGCGGCGCGTGAGCTCCAGCACACGTAACAGAAAGAGCGAGAATATCTGAGTGAGGGGGGTTGGGGGGGGGCAAAAGATTAATGACCATTACTGCCCCCCGGATAGATAGACCGAGAGATGGATGGAGTACACCTGGAATTCCCGGCTCTACCGTCTTCCAGGGAAGACGCGGGGGTGGGTAAACGTAAACGTAAACCGGCGCCGAGTTTCGGCCTAAAGTTGTGAACAAAGCCGGCTGTGATCCTGCAGGGTACGGGGAGGGGGCAGGAGGAGGTGAGTCTTCCCCCGGGGAAGGTGAGTGGAGGCTGGCTCCCAGGCGCCGTTAGCGGGGAGTAGGCGCTGGGCGAGCCGCCGCCTGGTTTCCTTCGTGTCGGCGATGTGAGGTGGCAAGCTTCCCTGAGTTTACCGCAGAGTATTTATTGCTTTGTTTTCATTCTTGTGTCTCGGGAATTGCTGTGAAGTTTACTGAACTATTTAGGCTCTTATTTTGTTTTTGTCTCGTGTAGCAAATCGGCTTTTTAGGGAGGTGTATTTTAATCTCGGCCGTGTTTGCCTCTATTTGACAAGTCAGCAACACGTGGGATTGAGGAACAAAACCAAACTTCGTTTAAACTTCAACAAAACGTATTCAAGAGAGTTCTGGGAACTTCCTTTCTCTTTTTCAAAAAAAAGTGCGCACACGGCTTAAAATTATTTATTAACCTTATGGTAAAATGTCACAAGCTTTGAGCTACTGGAGAAAAGGGAAGCTTGAAGGTTGCGTAACCTCTGATCGTTCTTCCTGCTTGAGGCATGGGAAAGGCCAAATGACCATTGGACTCGACTGGAACCTAAGCAGGGTGGGGGGGTAAAGCTAGTAAAGATATGTAGATGTTCCTTACCTATGTCAAGTATGTTTGCCTGTGTTTTGCATTAGATTTACCCAAGAATATGCACCAAACAAATATAATATAGTGTAACTCTATTCTTAAATTTTGGTTTCACTGCCTTTCAAACATTTAAAATTGCTTGGAGCAAAGAAGCATGTATTTCATAGATTTGACAAGTTCCCGCCTAGCAGATTTATTGGAAAAATAAGAATTCTCAGCTCCTAATTTGCTCATGTAGTCACAGTATTTATTTGCCTGGTCCAGTTAAATTTCTGGTCAGTGATAATCCGCTAGGATAGTGAAAGATTTTGCGGTGGTAAGTATTGCTAAGCATCAGTGGGAGTTGGTTAGCTTTGATCTTGTTGAAGATGGTCATTACCTGGTACTTGATGTGAATGTTAATGTCATTTAAGAATCTAAATCTGGATGTTGTACATGTTTTCATGTGGGCTGTTGAACTTCTTGAATATTGTTGAACCTGTATTTTAAGAGGCACCATGGTAGAGTTAATAGAAATATTTCTTTTGCAAAGAAATAACCAGCAGCATACATCTTAATAACTGCTAGTAGGAATAAAAGGGAGATGAGAAACATTATTGTCACAGGATGATCGAGGTGTTGAACTGCTCAAAAGAATGATAAAGGCAGAATATCTCATCAAATTAAAATTAAAGCTTGGGTATGCACTTGAATTTGGACAGAGGGATTAGGCTGAATAGCACTTCTTTGACCTGCACAGATCCAATAGGTTTCTGTGCTGTAAATATTCTTTTTAGGTGTAAAATATTAAATGGTATAAGATGAGGTGGGCCCAGTAGGAAATGTCAGTTTTGGAAAATGTGAAATAGGGCAGGCTACAAAAGAGATACCGCTAGGTTAAGTTGTGGGCAAATATCTGGTAAATGATGTATTATATGGGAAATGTGCAATTAAGACATAGGTGGATAGGTTCTTCGTAAACAAAGGGGTGAAAAATTATTGGGGAAACAGAAATATGGAGTAACCAGATGAGCTATGATCTTAGTGATTGAGGAGTAGGCTTGAGGGGCTGCATGGCCTACTCCTGTTCCTAATTTTTGTGTTCCTACATAAATAAAATTAATTTAATTTTCAGACACATGCCCTTCTCGTTAAAACCAGTTCTGACAGATCATTGTTCTAAATGTTAACTGTTTCTCCATAGATTCTGCCCAATCTTTTTATTTCTAGTTTTATCTATTTTTATTTCCGATTTACAGCGTTTTGTGGTATTTTGTTTATGCATTTAAATTAACCAAAGGTGCATTTTTTAATATCAGAGAATGTCATGCGTTAAATATTTAGGAGAGTTTGATAGACAAGGCCAAAGATAGGAAATTCAAAATGAATTTGGATCATACGCTGAGAGTTGAGGTGCTCAAGAAATGATTTTTAATGGGCCACGTTGATGAAGTTTGTTTTCCTTTCTAAAGTAGTTAAACCCAATTCAACCTTTTTATAACAGAGTACTATTTATTTCAGAACCCCATTTGTTTTTGGAGATCATTGACTATTAATTCCTTTCTGCATAATGGGACTATGTAAATATAATTTTAAAAAGTGAATACACCTTACACTTCAAAAAATTAAGTGGACAGTATTTTTAAATTAACTTTTTAAATGACAGCTCTGAGCCCTCCTCAACCAATACTGAAATGGGATCTTTGTGAAAATAATAATGAGGGTTTGACCACATGACCCTTGTCAACCCCTGTCAAAGCAGAGTTTTCAGACCTGTGGTTAAATGGGCTTCTCCTTTTTGAGTTATCTCCTATTCTCAATGGTAATCCCATAGATTTAATTCCAGCTGTGTTGCTGCACAATTATAACAACAGACCTTTACAGATTTCAGCGCTCGATTCCATCTCTCATGTCAGTTGATTGCAAAAAGATAATCCTGATTTGTTACTGAACCTCCTATTTTTGTCCTGTCGTGAAATACTGAGCACGCTTTGATTATGGTTGTGACTCTGGGTCACAGAGCTGTAATGTATGGACTATCAGCTAACTAGAATTGCAGTTAAAATTATGATAGACTTATTTTTTGTAACTGCATTTTTAGTTCTTTAGCCGACTTTTTTAAAACTATCGCAATTAAACTGCAATTTTATTTGAAACGCGGTAATATTTGAAGATGCCTAACATTTGGAACTTTATCTTTTTCTTCTATTTAAGATCCTTTTTGATTGAAGTTAACATAATGAGCTGTTACATTATAATTACTCTGTAGATGTAGTTTATTATTTGCCTTTTTCAAAAGTACATATCAGTTTTTCCCTCCAATAGCCATACTGCTTTCAATCAACTCCTAACTTAAAACGAAATAATTTTACAGACTGTTTGATTCAGGATTATTTCTGAAGGCCGTCTGATATTAAATGGGTGTGTGAAATCAGACTAAGTATGGAAAAAATGCTTTAAATACAACTGGCAAAATAATCAGGCTGAAATTCAAAATCTGAAATAATGGTCATAAAAATTGGGGTTTTGGAAATAAATTCTGGAGTTTGAAGAGACGATGAATTTTAAATGTCAGATTCGAATTAGGCAGAAATAAGTGATATCAGTTACTTGTGTTAGGAAGAATTCACAACTATAGTGTCTTACATCATTTTGTTTTGCCATTTAGGATTGGATGTATCCAATGAGACGTGCAATGCAGGTAATCTAAATGCTATTTTTTAGCCTGTTTGTAACACTGAGGCCTCTTTGTGGTGCATTCATTTCGTCATTGTGTTAATCATAGAACCCCTACAGTGCAAAATGCAGCCATTCGGTCCACTGAGTCCTCACTGACCCCCTGAAGACCCATGCTACCCAGATCTAGCCCCTTACTGTAGCCTGTAACTCCACATTTACTATGGCTAATCCACGTAGCCTACACATTCCTCAACCCTACAAACAATTTCAGCATGGCCACTCAATCTAATCTGCATATCTTTGGACTGTTGTGCGGAAACCGGAGCACCTGGAGAAATGCACGCAGAACGTGCAAACTCCACACAGACGGTTGTCCAAGGCTGGAATTGAACCTGGATCCCTGGTGCTGTGAGGCTGCAGTGCATGGATCCAAGGCGACCATGTTGCCCCTTAGATTAAGATATGAATGAAGCTCAGAATTTTATGTACAGAAGGTTTGGGAAAATTTCCCATCACCAGCACAAATTGGTGCTTTGGATAATATTCAGTATTTGGATTAATTTTTAAATGCAACGGAATTTAATAATTGAATATTATCTGTGAACATAGAATATAACGTGCCAGTATGACTTGATAAAATCATTACTTATTGTGATTATGTTTTACATTTTGTGTTATATACTGAATTCAAACAGATAACTAATAGTAAATGGTTTTTTTTTGGTCTTTCCCTTCATCTCTCTTTCAGTAGTGTAACTGCCTAACTCTTTCTGCACCTTTCCTTCAAAAGGGTTATTCTGCTTCAGGACATCTATTGGATTACATGCCCAGTTCCATCGGTAGAGGCTTTGCTATAATAATTAGAATTATTGGTGATCGATCAATAAGCATGTTCCAGCTCCTGTTCTTCAGCAGTTTTTTACCGTGCATTTCTCCAGTCCTTTTCACTTTTTTCCCGTAATTGTGTTTTTCTCTGGTTTGACATTTTTTATCTCTCCATGCCTTTACTGCAATTTATCATATTGTAACGTGGAGAGGGGCTGTTGTAGAGACATAGACTGACCTACCAAACTTCCACCCCAACAAAGATTGGGTGCATTCAAACCACTAAAATTAGAAAAAACAGTTTGCTGTTGTCCCGTTCGGATCATGTGGGACGTGAAAGCTGGCGTCGACATTTTGAATTAAATGGCACTCTTATTGCAGAGTACTCTTAGGAATTGTAGTCCTCACTGTCAGGGTTTGGGTGCAGACTTCTGCAAAAATCTGGGCTGGGTAGGGACTGGGAGAAGAGATTGTGCATGCCATGTAAATTACGTATCATGTGTCAACCTACATTTGTAACTATTTATAACTGTGATGGTGGTATCAGTACAAGTGTAACTTTTTCGCATGTGACTGAATAGACTGCAGAATCTCCTTTTGACCTATTCTAATTTTATAGGCATTCTTCATAGTAGAATGCAATTAAGCAGAAAAGTCCTGTGAATTCGGGAATGAATAATAATAAAAGTAGTTTATAAACAATTGGAAAATACCAATGCAAAAATAATTTATTTCTTGTTCATTGAAAATAACATGGTATTAAACAGACAAACAACAGGCATAAAATTTAAAGATGTTTCAGACACCCATTAGAAGAAAATTCTTAATGCAAAAATAGAGAAAAAAAATTCTTACATTCAGCTTTTGAAAACTCAGTTTTATTTCAACTTGTCATTTTAGAATATAATTATCATTAGTAATGTGCTTTATTTCATTTTATCCAGTTGGCTAATGACCTTTTTTTGTTCATAGGAGATACTACCTGGCTTGTACTTGGGGCCGTATTCTGCTGCTATGAAAAGTAAGGTATGAACTTTAAGAAATAAAGGATCATGACTGTTCTCTGTGAAGCGGAATAGACGCTACTTCTGCCTTTTTAAAAAAAACTTAATTTTACTGCTCCCTTGCTGGTAGCACAATACATTTCCTTTACCCCTGTGTATTGGAATATCAGAACATTAATAAAACACTTGAATATGTGCATTCTCATCATTATTATTTTTAAACCAGAGTGTCTTGATTTTTGTCATGGGCCAATTGGAATTGCAAGATTTCACACGTACAGTTCACTTACTGTGGAAGTCGGAACAATCTGCAATGCTGATAATGAACATACATGTCAATAGAAGGATGAACTTGAGCACCTGAGATTATTTTGTAGAAATTATTGAATGTGTGTAGTGAGAGGAGAGAGATTTTGTAACAGTTCATACCTTTATTAAGTACACACTATTTAGAGAGTAACTTTGAAGATTATTCTGAAATATAATTCCCTAATAGTTTCCTATGCATGGAGTTAATGTTTATTCCTGTGATAAATGAAATTTTCGCTGTTAAAGACTCTTCCAAGGAATCTGACACACTTCTGTGTTGAGTCTTTTTCTCCTCAGAAAATTTTAATTCTCTGTATAGCCTGTCTGTCTTAAGACTTGAATGCAACTCCTGTGAAGTGAGGCTGTGATTTAATGTGAGTAACACTGCAGGATGCATTGCATCTCATATATTTTAAAAAAAAGGCTTATTGAATGACTGTTTGCGAAGTAGTATTTATTTTTATCTTTTTTCCACAGTCTTAGAAGCTCTATTGAGGTCAGTGATCATCCTGCAGCTGGTTAAATCTTGGTTGCTTGAAAGAAACCATGTAACCACCATGGCATTTGTTTGTCAAGCCAAATCTTAGTATTGGTCTCCCACTCAAAATAAAGCATGCTTTATGATCCCCATCGAGACAATAACTTCTGTTTTTAAAAAAGCTGGAGTTTCCAATGAATGACTGAAAGTGTCACACAGGAGTTTGTATGATTTGAGAGCAAAAGTAGGCTATTCAGCCTTTTTCAGCCTGGTTTGCTATTCAATAAGATAATGGCTGAACTGATTGCAACTTCAATTCTACATTCCTGCCTACCACTGACCTTTCATCTCCTTGTCTAACAAGAATCGATTTGCCTCTGCCTTGAAAATATTCAAGGACTCTTGCTACCACTGCATTTTCAGAAGTTCCAAAGACTTCAGACCTCTGAGAGAAAATGTTTTGTCTCATCTCTGCTTTAAATGTGCAATTCCTGATCTTTTGAAGAGTGATCCTAAGTTCTAGATTCTCCCAAAAGAGGAAACATCATCTCTGCTTCTACCCTGTCAAGACCCCTCAGCATTTTGTGTTTCAGACGATTCTAAATCCCAGCAGATAGAACTTAGCCTGTAAACCTTTTCTCATCTGCAAATTTGGCAACCGTACCCTCCATCCTTTTATCCAAGTTAATTAAATAAATTGTAAACAATTGAGGTCTCCAATCGCTGTGGCACACCACTCCTTACAGACAGTCCCCAGGTTGTGAATGGGTTCCATTCTGGAGTCCATTTGCAAGTTGATTTGTTCGCAAGTCAGAAGACAATATAAAGGAGTCGTTTGTAAGTACAGGAAATGTTCGCATGTCAGGTATTTGAATTTATATTGCTGTATGAGATGATATTCATAATTGTGAACATTCAAACGTCAGATCTTTTTAAATCAGGGACCTTTTGTATATCTTACTGACCTCAAAAAGACTTCCTGTTAGTCAGCTAATCTTTCATCTGTGTAAATGTACTGCCTCCTACAGCATGAACTTTTATTTTCCACATAATCTTTGATGTGCTACTATATCAAAAGCCTTCTGGAATCTAAGTACAATACAGCCACTAGTTCAGCTTTATCCACATCTTGGTTACCTCCTTAAAGAACTCCAATAGACTGATCAAATTTCATATTTCTTTCACAAACTATTGTTGACTCTGCCTCAACTTATCCAAGTGCCCTTCTTTCATAACAGCTTCTAACAAATCTCCTATTATAAATGTTAAGCTAACTGGCTTGCTGTTTAATGTTTCATCTCCTCTTCTTGAATAAAGTTGTTACATTAGCTTTTACTAAGTTTTAAAATTTATTGTAAGAATCTTAAAAGCAACATTATTTTTGTAGGCTGCTTATATTCTAATCAACTGAAAATAAATTCTTCCTTTAATTTTTAATAAAGCTTAATTTCTCCTGCTATGATTATCTGCTGTTGTCCGGTAGTGGACATGTCATTTGCCTGGAGCCAGTTCAAAGTTTGTTCTCAGCTCCTGATGGCTTGCTTCCTTTCCAAGCCAGGTAACTTCTCATCCTAGAACTGACTTTCTCTTTGGGACTTATAAATGGAGATTCCTCCACTGTTAGGTGACTTTTTCAGCCTCCTTTAAATTGTCAGGAACTCAGTCTCTCCTTTCTGAATGTGGGCTCCAATTTGCATGGTGAACAATAAAGTCAGTATTTTCTCTATTTCAGGTTCAGGACTAGCTGGTTTTGCTGCCTCCTTTTTGTCTGTCAGATGTTTAAATGCTGACTTGTGTCTGACAGTTTCAGGGCTATTTTTAGAAAACTTGCAACCTGATTCTTCAATCACTTTCTACTAATATTTCCTTTCTCAAAGATCCATCTCTATGGCACATGTATGATGGACCTTGTGTCTAGGTAAAAATATGGATTAGCTGTTTTCTAAACTGTTGAGCAAAAGCACATATTGTCAAATATTTTTTCACTTTTGCACTTATTATGACATTTGCAAGAATACAAATTCGGGGGAAAATCGACATTTATACTGCATGAAAGGAGGGTAGTGCTGCCAAAGAGAATGCATCCATTGATATTGATTTGATTTTTATAAAGCAGGTAGGCTCTGGTCAGGGCATTGTCTTGAGAAATTAACCAGCAGATGGCTGTTACCTATTTTTTTCAGGTGGAAAAAGAAAAGTGCTTGTATGTGCTTTTTCTGTCTGTTAAGAACAGGATCCTGTGTATTAATATATGTAGCTTCCAGTACGTGCAAATATGCCTTGCTGTGAGCCTGAATGATAATCCTAAATTGATTGTCACCATAATTCCTTGCACGTTCACAATTATCCGATAAACTTTACTCAATTGCCGAATCACATCTAATGTTAGACATCATTGTGAATGTTGCTAGTTTGGTCTGGTTGCGTGCATAAGTAGACGCTCATTATGAACAGCTGAAGGGTATACTATTTGATGTGATCTGCTGGTCTTTGGGATGTACGGCCTACATACCATCACATTGGCACTGAAACCACATTACTATATTTTTGTGAGAGGCAGAATGTCTCTTTGACTTGACTGCAGCATCCAGATAGTGACAACCACCACTTGTATTGCTGCTGAAGAGTATTAGAGTAAAACAACTAGCTTAATCTGTTAATCAAACATTTGAAATACCCTACTCTTCCAGGGTAATCTGATGTAGATGCTTCAGGATGAGAAATGTGACTGCCTTAAGGCCTTTCACGAGTTTGTGCAATATACAATAAGAAGTGATGTGACCAGGGTAGCTATTACACCACAGGATGATTTTGATGTGCCCCATTTCTGAATCAAGTTTGCACAGTGGAAAAAATGGCTTGGGGCCCTATTTATGAGGTTACCCAAAAGATCAATTTTATAAAGTGCATGAAACTGTAGGAATCTGAACTTGTGTACCGAGTAATGATGGTAGTTTGCAGTAACAGTGGTACAAAACAACCTGATTGATTTCTCAATGAGGACATTGAGGAAAGGGAGCTGATTTAGCTGTTTCATTTTAAATGTGAATTTGAGCACAGGATGACACGCATTAGGACATGTCAGAAATTCTTCTATGCAGCTGTGGATTTAGAGATGGCAAACATTGTCATCAACATGTTGGAAATGTTCAAGGGGTAGGAGGCTCATTGTCATCCAATTAAAGACACATTTCTCATGGAACCCAACAAAGATATTTGTGAGCATTGGGTTTCATAAAGCTTCCATGGCAACACCATTTATGTGACCATACACGGTGTCGTAGAAACTGAACCCAGCTGCACAGGTTGCTGAGTTCATAATTTGCACAAATATTGATTCATGTAATGGTGACAAGTCTAGATTGTCACGATACAGTGCTGTAGTGCAGACGTCAATAGCTTCTTTGAGCATGTAGATACCGCATTAGTATTCATTTGCAAGTAAATGTGAAGGAATTTTTTTTTTGTTGTATGCATAGGCAACTTGCTGTTTGTCTAAACGTGGTCCTGATTCCTGTTTTTAAAAAAAGCACACTACTTAATCCACTCAACATGGCACAGAACCAGCACAATGGTAAATCTTGATCCATTCATTCTTAAGCAGTGACATAGGAGATGTACAAGTACAACTGTACAAAAAAAGTGGGAGTGTGACGTTAGGTCATCCACTCACTGCTTCCCATATCTTAATTTGCATACTGTTCTGTTCACCCACTTCACTTTCCTGTCTTTGCTTTGCTTTGTAACCCATGATTCTTTCACTGATTAAAAATCTATCTTTCTTTCTCAGCCTTCGGGACCCAACCTGAACAGCCTTCTGCGTATAGAATTCCACAAATTCACTACCCTCGGAAGAAATTCTTCCTCATCTTTGTCTTGAAAAGGCAACTCCTTGTTCTGAGATTATGCCCTCTGGTCCAAGACTTCCCACATGGGGAAACAATCTTTCTGCATCTACCCTTCAAGTCCCCCAATGATTTTTAATGTTTCAACAAGCAACCCCGCCCCCCTCCGCGTCTTCCAACAAGTGCAGGCCAGTGTATTTAATCATTCCGTACCTGGTATCCGTCTGGTTACCCTTCTCTGGACTGCCTTCAATACTAGCATATCTTTCCTTGGGCAAAGGCACTAAAACTGTTCACAGTATTCTAGCTGTGTTCTAACTGCCTTCTATCGTTTCAGCAAGGCCTCCCTATTTTATACTCCATTCTTGTTGAAGTGAAGGCCAGCATTTCATTTGGATTCCCCTATTATACATTGAACTTCTGTGCTAGCTTTTCTTGTATTTATACACAAGGACACAAATCCCTTCATGCCTTCTGCAGTTTTTATCCATTGAAATCACATTCACCTCTTCTCACCTCCGTGCCAAAGTACATAACCGCACATTTTCCACATTGTTCCATCTGTCATGTTTTTGTCCACTCACTTGAATTGTCTTTATCTCTGTGTACACATTTTGTGTGATCCTCACTACTTGCCTTCCCACCTATTCTTATAGGTTTGCGATGACCTTAATATGCTGTGGCGTATAAGTTGCTATGGCACTCCATTAGTTACAGGTTACTATCCTGAAAATGCCCTCCGTATTGCAACTCTGTTTTCTATTAGTTAACCAATCCTCTATACATGCTAATGATCTGCCTACAACACCATGAGTCTTTAATCTGCAGTCTTTATCAAAAGCCTAATGAAAATCCACATATATTCACTGCTTCCCCTTTACATCTATACTGCTTGTCACCATCTCAAAGAATTCCATTAAGTGTGTCAGGCATGATTTCCCCTTTTGTGAAGCCATGCCATCTCTGCTTGTTCATATTATGTATTTTAAATGATCTGCTATTATGTTTTTTTGTAATAGAGTCTAACAATGTCGAAACAACAGATGTTAAACTAACTGGCCTATATAGTTACTTAATTTTTTTTGCTTCCTTCTTTCAATAAAGGTGTCAGATTTAACACAACGAGGTGTCAGATTTGCTGTTTTCCAATCCTCTGGGAGTTTTTCAGAAGCTAAAGATTCTTCAAAGATTATTATAAATATATCCACAATCTCTAGCTCTTCCTTAATCCTTAATTTAGAATGCATCCCATGGGCTTAGTTTCCCCAGCACTTTTTCTTTAGTTTTTATATTTATTGCTTCACTACCTTTTGTCCTTTTGTTTAGTAATTTTGGGATGCATTTAGTGTCTTCTACTGTGCAAAGTTTTTATTCAATTCCTCTGCCTTTTCCTTCTTCCCCATTATTATTTTCCCAGTCTCATTCACCTAAAGAGTCTGTTAACTTTGGCCTGTCTTCCTTTATATATCAATTAAGGAAGCTATAGCTGCAAGTTGATAAAACTTGCAAGTTTACCCTCAAAGTTTGTCTTTTCCCTCTTTTTTTGGTCACGTTTTGTTGGTTTTTATAACTTTCCCAATCATCTACCTTACCACTAATCTTTGTCACACTGAAAGAAAAAAAAAATACACAGTTGATGCTATCCTTAACTTCCCTGGTAATAACATAAAAATCATAATTTCCAATTTCATGTTATTTGCAGTTTGTTTGATGGGAAGTTGCAGATCTCAGGATCTAAATAGTAAATATTTTTCTTTGGTAGCTCCCAATTCTTGAGGAAAATGGAATAACTCACATAATATGTGTACGGCAGGATATTGAGGCAAACTTCATCAAGGCAAATTTTCAAGAGAAATTTAGGTAAATATTTGAAATTATACTTGTTAGTAAATATTCTCTGAAAAGTATGTGTTTATTGTGTTTTTGCTATGTGCTCATTTTATTAGGATCAAGCAAAATTCTTGACTCTGCCATCGAGCATCAGAGACAACTGTGACAGCAGTTATAAACTTGACAATTCCCTCTACTTTTCTATCTTCTCCTTTACACACATTGTTAGGAATTCATCTGTTTGATACTTGCTTATAGCAGTGAGGCCAGAGGAGAAAGCACTTGTAGAATGTGGGAGGTAAGGGTCACCACTCGTGTCCCTTCTAACTTCACCTGCAAGAAGTGCACCCAATTCAAGCTCCTCACAGACCGCGTTAGGGAACTGGAGCTGGATGAACTTCGGATCATTAGGGAGGCTGAGGGGGTGATAGAGAGGAGTTGTAGGGAGATAGTCGCATCTAAGTTACAGGATAAAGGTAGCTGCGTGACCATCAGGAGAGGGAAAGAGATTAGGCAGACAGTGCAGGGATCCCCTGTGGCCATTCCCCTCAATAATATACCGCTTTGGATGCTGCTGGGGGGCGTGGGGGGGAGTGACATATTGGGGAAAGCTATAGCGGCCAGGTCTCTGGCACTGAGCCTGGCTCTGTGGCTCAGAAGGAATGGGGGAGAATAGGAGAGTGATAGTAATAGGAGATTCAGTGGTTAGGGAACAGACAGGAGATTCTGTAGTCGCGAATGAGACTTCTGGATGGTATGTCGCCTCCCAGGTGCTGGGGTCAGGGATATCTCTGATCGGGTCTACAGGATTCTTAAGGAGGAGGGTGAGCAGCCAGAAGTTGTGGTGCATATCGGTACCGCTGACATAACTATGAAAAGAGAAGAGGACCTGAAAAGTGAATATAGGGAGTTAGGTTGGAAGCTAAATGACTTGGATGAGCAGAGTAGTAATCTCAGGATTACTACCAGTGCCACAGGCTAGTGAGGCTAGGAATAGAGAACGAGTGCAGCTGAACATGTGGCTACAGAGTTGGTGTAGGACGAAGGGCTTCAGATATGTGGACCATTGGGATACCTTCTGGGGAAGGTGGGACCTGTACAAGAAGGATGGGTTGCATCTGAACTGGAGGGGTACCAATATCCTGGGCGGGTGGTTTGCTCGAGAGGGTTTAAATTAGTTTGGCAGGGGAGTGGGAACCGGAGCTACGGATCAGAGGATGGGGTAGCTAGTGTACAGGCAGGTGCAACGTGCAGAGAGTCTGTGAGGAAGGATAGACAGTTGATAGGGTTGAAGTGTGTCTATTTTAATGTAAGAAGTGTCAGAAGTAATGGTGATGAACTTAGCATGGATCAGTACTTGGAGCTACAATGTTGTGGCTGTTACGGAGACTTGGATATCACAGGGGAAGGAATAGTTGCTGGATGTTCCGGGGTTTAGATGTTTCAAAAGAAATAAGGAGGGAGGTAAAGGAGGTGGGGAAGTGGCATTGCTCATCAGGGATAGTATCACAGCTGCAGAAAGGGAGGTTGTCGAGGAGGGTTTGTCTACTGAGTCAGTATGGGTGGAAGTCAGAAACTGGAAAGGAGCAGTCACTTTATTGGGAGTTTTCTATGGTAGGGGAGACCCTTAATGAATACTTTGCTTCAGTATTCACCAGTGAGAGGGACCTTGTCGTTTGTGAGGACAGCATGAAACAGGCTGAAATGCTCGAACAGCTTGAGGTTAGGAAGGAGGATGTGCTAGAAATTTTGGAAAAACGCGAGGATAGATAAGTCCCCGGGCCAGACGGGATATACCCAAGGTTACTACAGAAGGCAAGGGAAGAGATTGCTTTGACGATGATCTTTGCGTCCTCACTGTCCACTGGAGTAGTACCAGATAATTGAAGGTTGATAAATGTTATTCCCTTATTCAAGAAAAGGAATAAGGATGACCGTACAAATTACAGACCAGTCAGTCTTTCTTCTGTGGTGGGCAAATTATTGGAGAGGATTCTGAAAGATGTTATTTATGATTATTTGGAAAAGCACAGTTTGATTAGAGATAGTCAGCATGGCCTTGTGAGGGGCAGGTCATGCCTCATAAGCCTTATTGAATTCTTTGAGGATGTGACAAAAACATATTGAAGGTAGAGCAGTGGATATGGTGTATATGGATTTTAGCATCATTTTGATAAGGTTTCCCATGGTAAGCTCATTCAGAAAGTAAGGAGGCATGGGATTCAGGGGAATTTGGCTGTCTGAATACAGAATTGGCTGCCCAATAGAAGACAGAGGGGTGGTAGATGGAAAGTATTCAGCCTGCAGCTCTATAAAACCCTGGTTAGACCACACTTGGAATATTGTGTTCAGTTCTGGTTGCCTCATTGTAGGAAGGATGTGGAAGCTTTAGAGAGGGTGCAGAGGAGATTTACCAGGATGCTACCTGGACTGGAGGGCAGGTCTTTTGAGGAAAGGTTTAGGGAGCTAGGGCTTTTCTCACTGGAGAGAAGAAGGATAAGAGGTGACTTGATAGAGGTGTACAAGATAATGAGAGGCATTAATGGAGTGGATAGCTAGAGACTTTTTCCCAGGTTGGAAATGGCTATCATGAGGGGGCATAATTTTAAGGTGATTGGAGGATGGTATTGGGGAGATGTCAGAGGTAGGTTCTGTACACAGAGTGGTGGGTACGTGGAATGCACTGCCAGTGGTGGTAGTAGAGTCAGATACATTAGGGACATTTAAGCAACTCTGGAATAGGCACATGGATGATAGTAAAATGAAGGCTATGCTGGTTAGTTTGATCTTAGAGTAGGATAATAGGTTGCCACAACATAATGGGCCAAAGGGCCTGTATTGTGCTGTACTGTTCTTTGTTCTAATCCTATAGATACTGGAATTTAAATTTGTTCTCCTGGCAGGTTTTTCACAAGCTCAGGAGAGTCATCTGCGAGAAAGAAGAAAAGCTGGTTCAGTCACTTTTACCATATTGGTTATTCTAAATGAACCAGCTAAGAAATGTCTAGTCTTGTTTCCTCATGGGATGTAGATGATGTTAGCAAGGCCAGCATCTGTTTAGCATCCTTAATTACCTTTGAACTGAGTGGCTTGCTAGGGCATTTCAAAGGGCATTTGAGAGTCAAATATATTGATGTGGGTCCATAGTGTCACATGTAGGCCAGACCGATTAAGGCTGACAGATTTCTTTCCTTAAATTGCATTAATGAATCAAATGGGGTTTTATAACAATGATGATAGTTGCGTTAGTTCACCATTACTGAGACTAGCTTTATACTGCAGATGCATCATTTGAATTTCACTTCCACCAGCCATTAGCCTGGGCCTCATAATGACATTATAGCTTTTTTAAAATTCATTTTTGGGATGAGGGTTTCGCTGGCTAGACCAGCATTTACTATCCATCCCAATTGTGCAGGGAGCAGTTAAGAGTCCCATGTAGGCCAGACCAGATAAGGATGGCAGTCTCCTTCCCTGAAGGATATTAGCAAACAAGACTGGTTTTGCCCAGTAATCGGCAATGGCTTACTGATCATTAGACTATTAATTCCAGACTATTTTTATTGAATTCAATTGAATTCATCACCTGCCATGGCAGCGTTCAAACCTCGGTCCCCAGAGAATTACCTGGGTCTCTGGATTAACAATCCTGCAATACTACCACTAAGCCATAACAGGTGGCTCTGCCACTGTCACCCCCTTAGACTTTCTTATGCATTCAGTTATGGGATTTACAATGAGGAACTTCGCACAAAAAAAACATATTCTTGAATTGATGTTTTCCTTATGCTTACAGGTATTTAGTTTTGGATATTGCTGATAATCCAGTGGAGAATATAATACGATATTTCCCTGTGGTAGGTACTTTATGCACTTCTGGTTGTCTGTATTTCTTGTGTTTCTTCCTACTTCCATAGTATATTACTTTCTTTTAAAAAAAGGTACAAGTTTTGTGAGCATGTTTTCTAATACATTATTATCAGAATTTAACTACCAGTTGTTCTTAAAAGGTACAATTGCTTTTGTTCTAGGTTTTAAATATCTATTATTTCATCATTGTGAATGCAGTTCTCATTTTCTTGTCAGGATAACGTTTCTTTATGAAACCGATTGTTTTAAGTATTAATCTAGCAACAACCAAATGAAAGATCCAGTACTTGTTACTAAAATGAGCACACAAATGCTGCAGCAACCCAGGAAGAAACAGTTTACGTTTCAAGTAGAGTATTGCTCTTCAGAACAGAAATTGGTTGAAAGATGATATTTTAACATACAAAGGCGAAGGAGGAGCAAGTGGGCAGATGGTATGGAGGCCCAGTGCAAAAGACAGAAGGATTGCTAATTGGAGTGAATGAGAAATAGAGGTATAAAACACATGTAAATTAAGGTGTGGAAGGTTCAAAGTGAGTCCTCACAGCTGAGAGAAAACTAAACAAGACAGGCCTGTTGAGTGGAGAGAGAATATAAGAAAAATGGAAGACAGATGTCGTAATGTCAATCGTTGAAGATTCAACATTGAGTTCTAGAGGCTGTTAAATGCCTAAGCAGAAAATGAGGTGGTGTTTGCTTGACTGTATGCTGTGCTTTGGTGGAACATTATGACAGGCGATTGACAGAAGTGTTACCATGAGAGCAAGGTGGTCTTTTTGAAATGGCAAGGAACTGAAAGGCCAGGGTCATTCTTACAGACAGCCAGAGGTGTTCTGCAAGCGATCACTGAGTCTGCGTTTGATTTCACCAATGTAAAGCAGACTGCATTTTGTGCAGCGAATATAGTAGACTTGAATAAAGAAAATATAAGTAAAATTCTACTTCCCCCCCAGGTACTGCATTCAATCTTGTTTGCTGTATTTGCTGCCTCTATGCTCTATTTAACTTTTAAAGTGGCAACAGAAGAGTCAATGAAGGTTATGCTACTGACATACTGCCCATGAACTTCCAGAAGGCATTTAACACAGTGCCTTGAAACGGACTTGAGGAAAGTTTATGCGTTAAAAGGGATTATGGCAACCTGGATGCAAAATTGACTAAAGGGTAAAAAAACAGCAAGTAACAATGGATATTTATTGGACTAGAGGAAGGAATGTGATGCAGTTGCCCAGGGGTCAGTTTTGGGACCCTTGCTTGTCTTCACATACATTAATGATTCAGATCTTGATGTGCACGAGGAAAATTCAATGTTTTTGAATGATACAAAATTTGGAAGTGTTGTAAACTGTAAGGAAGGTAGCAGTGAGAACTTCGAATGGGTAGAGACAAGTTTGCAGAGTGGGTGTATAGGTGGCAGGTGAAATTCAATGTAAAGTGTAATATAAAATAAGGAGTGACACTTTAAAGGAGGTGCAAGAGCAGAGGGACTGGGGTGTGTATGCGTACAGATTATTGAAGATGCAGACCAGTAGAGAGAGCAGTTGACAAAGCATGTTGTATTCTGGGTTTTATTAATAGTACCTTGGAGTAGAAGAGCAAGGAGGTGATACTGTACTTGTATAAAACACTTGTTAGACGTCAGCTGGAGTATTTTGTACAATCCTAGGTGCCACAGAAGAATGTGAAAGCATTGGAGAGAATGCAGAAGAGGTTTGCAAGAATGGTTCTGGGGATGAGATACTTCAGTAATGAGGATATATTGGAGAGGTTGGAACTGCTTCCCTTGGAGAGAAGAAAGCTAAGAGGAGATCTGATAGAAGTTTTCAGTATCATGAGTAGGGGCTGGAGAGAAATTGCTCCTGCTTGTAAAAGGATCAAGAATGAGAGGATGCAGAATTAATTTGGCTTGCAAAGAAGTGAATATGATGTGTGGAAAAGTTTTATTCTCACAACAAACAGTTCAGGTCTAGAATACACAGGATGGAAGTGTGGTGGAGGCAGTTTCAATTGAGGCGTTCCAGAGGGCACTGGAATTTAAATAGAAACAATGTACCAGGCTATGTGGAAGAGGCAGGAGAGTGGCACCAAGTCATGATGCTCATTTAGAGAGCCGGTGCAGATTTGTTGGGCTGAGAGGTTGCGTCCTCTCCTGGAACACTTCTGTGATACGTGCAGGAATATTTCACATTTCCTTTATGAATCATTTTCAGAATTAATTTCAGGAAATGACCAATGTTGGTATTGTTTCCTGGCGGCCACATAATCTGAGTCATGTTTGGATGTGGTTATTGCAGCAAAATTAATCAGGAACATCAGAACGTGTATTGACCTTAACACAATTCAACAACATAGTTGCTAGGGAAATCCATCCATGTCAAGTGTGAGGTCATCCGTTTTGGTAGGAATAGCAGGAAAATGGACTATGTTTTAAATGGTTAAAAAATTGCAGCACGCTGCTGTGCAGAGAGACTTGGGTGTCCTTGTGCATGAATCACTAAAAGTAGGATTGCAGGTGCAGCAGTTAATTAAAAAGGCAAATGGAATTTTGTCTGCCATTGCTCGAGGGATGGAGTTTAAAAACAGGGAGGCTATGCTGCAGCTGTATAGGGTCCTGGTGAGGCCACACCTGGAGTACTGTGTGCAGTTTTGGTCTCCTTACTTGAGAAGAGATATACTAGCACTGGAGGGGGTGCAGAGGAGATTCACTCGGGTGATTCCAGAGTTGAGAGGGTTGGATTATGAGGACGACTGAGTAGACTGGGATTATACTCATTGGAATTCAGAAGAATGAGGGGAGATCTTATAGAAACATATAAGATTATGAAGGGAATAGATAAAGTGGAGGCAGGAAGGTTGTTTTCGCTAGCAGGTGAAACTAGGACTAGAGGGCATTGCCTCAAAATAAAGGGAAGCAGATGTAGGACTGAGGTCAGGAGGAACTTCTTCACCCAAAGGGTTGTGAATCTGTGGAATTCCCTGCCCAGTGAAGCTGTTGAAGCTACCTCGCTGAACGTTTTTAAGGCAAGACTCGATAAATTTTTGAACAGTAAAGGAATTCAGAGTTATGGTGAGTGGGCGGGTAAGTGGAGTGGAGTCTCAAAAAGATCAGCCATGACCTTATTAAATGGCGGGGCATTCTCGAGGGGCCAGATGGCCGCCTACTGCTCCTCGTTCTTATGTTCTTAAGTAACTTGTGATGAAGGATGACCAATGAATAAGTCTTGGCAGAAAAGACACTTACCTCTAGCAAGATAAGATTTCTTGAATTTAAGTAATTGTATATGGATTACATTACATGCTGGGTAACAAGAAGAGAAGAAGATATGAATGCCTCTGACGACTACTGCTGAGATCTGCCAAATGCTCTGTAAGGCCATAAAATGTAGGAACAAAAGTAGGTCATTCAGCCGATTGAGTCTACTATGCCATTCAATGTAATCATGGCTGACTTGATGACACTCAGCTCCACTTTCCTTCCTTTCCTGTATTACCCTTGGTTCACTTACTGATTAACAATCTATCTCAGCCTTGAATTTACTTAACAACCCAGCTTGGAGAGACCTCCACTGTAAAGAATTCCACAGATTCACCACACTCTTAAGAAATTCCCCCTCATAGGTATTTTAAATGTGCGACCCCTATGGCCCACTGGTCCTTAATGTTCCCACAAGGGAAAGTGACCTTTCTGCATCTATCCTGTCAAATCCCTAGGAATCTTGTATGTTTCAATAAGGTTGCCTCTCATTCTTCTAAACTCCGAGCACAGGCCCAACCTACTTAACCATATCCGGGATTAGTCTAGTAAACCTTCTCTAGACTGCCTCCAATGTCAATATAGCCTTCATTAGATTAGGGTAAATAAAACTGTTCACGGTATTCCAGCTGCGGTCTTGCTAGTGTCTTTTATAGTTTTAGCAAATCTACCTACTTGTATTCCATTTGAAATAAAGCCTAAACTTCCCTTTACCATTCCTATTACCCACTGAACTTGGATACCAGTTTTTTGCATTTTTGCACAAGGACACAAATCCCCCTGCTATAGCTTTCTGCAGTCTTTATCTATTGAAACCATATTCAGCTCCTGTCTCTTTGCTGACAAAGTGCATAGCCTCATTTTCCCTCGTTATGTTCTATCCGCCATGTTTTGCCCACATTTGTAACCTGTCTAAAATCCTGCACAGACTCTCGTTATCCTCACCACTTGCCTGTCCACCCATTTTGTGTAATCTTGTAAAGTAGGCTAGTTTATTTCACTTTCCTCATCCAAGCATTGGAAATAATTGTGTGGCTCCAACAGTGATTCCTGCGGCACACTACTAGTTACAGGTTGCCATTCTGAAAACTCCCCACCCCACCGCCGTCTTTTTCGTCTCCCTCCTTTTAAAATAAAAGTGTTACATTGGCAATTCTCTGGAACTTTTCCAGAATGTAAGGATTTTTGGAAGATTACTACCAGTGCCTCCACTATCCCTGTAACTTATTTTAATACTTCTAATGATAGTTAAACTGTAAAACTTGAACATATTTGTACCTGAAACAGGTCTTGTAACTAATCAGAACTAGTAAACTTTAGATGTACTCAAAACTCAGTCTACAATTTATATTATGGTCTTGCAATTAAAGTTACAGTGCACCCAAAATTTTACAGAATTGTCAGTTATAAAGGAAATGTTCTGCAATGAAGTTGAATACCTAAGTTGGTTGATAAAGTGATGTTTATGGGTATTTTAAATGTTTCACATTTTAATGCACTTTAGACCCTGCTCATTGCTATGTGTAGGCCATGATGTTATACAGAAGGATATTAATATAATAATCAGTATGTACAACTGAAATTTTGTAGTTTCTTTTCCGGCATATTAATCATCTTAAATGAAATAGCGTCACCGCTAAATGAGATGATTCAGACAAATACATGAATGGACCTTGTTCTTGCTCCTTAACTTTGTGCCTATGATGTTGATAGCTGTTTTAAATAATTATCTGAAGTGTATGTTGAAAATTTTGACTTGTTCTTATTTTGCGTACAATATATCTTTTCATTGAAAGTCAAAATATTGAGTGTATTCCATCCAACATCATTGCTGTTAGCTTTAAACTGATACCTTTGCTTTGGCAGCTTAAATGTGTTTCCAGGTTCATTCATCAAGTGTATTATGCAGCCTTTGTTATACTGATGTCTTTTAAACAAAATTCATGAAGATTTCCTCTCAGCTGTTCCTGATATCTCTCAACAGATATTTTATCGTTGTTTGTACATACACAAAAGTATACTGGAGAGGCAGAATGTGGGTTTATGTCTGCAATTTTATCAAATTGTATTTCTAAATCATGGTTATTTAACAGAAATGCTCTAAATTAAAACAACATAGCAAAGCCCTATATACATGTGATTTAATGAGCTGTTAAAGTGTGTTTATTATCACCAGACATCTCTTGTACATTTGTACAATTCACTTGCATAATGGATATCAGAGCAACAACATTAAGTATTTTTGCAGCATAACTCTTAAAAACAAGTCTTATACTTATCTTAAACTGAAATGACTTCCTTTTTATTTGTGAAATATATTCAGTTGCATGTGCTTTGTTGTTCTGCAAGGGCTGAATTGGATTAGATTAGGTGTCAGATATGTCAAAAATACCAAAAATGTGCTGTTGTAAATAAGTTTTTTTTTGTGAATCAGCCCATTAAAACTGAAATTACAAAATTGAGAAAATGAATAATCTTAAATTTTGAACTAACAAGGTCTTCCAAAAGTGAAGATTCAGCCTTACCACCCTGTTCCCCCTTTTTAGCAGTTGGGTGTCTTGTGGTAGCCACTGGAATAATTGGGGCATATTTGTATAATATTCCCAATTACATTTTAGCCCTTCTCTTCACAGGGAAGCTGCCGCAGCTTTCCCACAGTGTAGGCACAGTTTGGTAACTGTTGCGAGGGTAGAAAGGCCTCAAAAATAACAAGACACTCATATTACCACTTTGCTGTTTGCCAACAACCTGGCTCTGTGCTGATTGGCCTACTTTTCATTCTCATCCACTAGCCAAACTGTTGTTTTAGGCTTATAAGACTGATTTGCACTTTCCCTGCTCCCTGCCAGTCTGAAATTCACTGGGTTAGAGCCAATCCCATAGTATCTACTATTTGAGACATTTGAATATAATATTATACCCCAGTAGGAGAGATTGGGTAGTGTATTTGCAGCACTTTTATTGCAAATTTTCTCTCCTAATTTGACACAGCCCATGGGTGCAAGTAAGGAATCTTCTGGTCTGCTTGGCTCATTGTCACATTCTGTTACATTATTTTACCTTTATTTTGTGCTTATCAGACTTGATCCTTTTACCTGTTTAGAATTTAGTGTAAGCATGTTTTAAATCACCAAAGACTTCCATTGAATGTTAATTCCCCTTGGAAAGTAACAGTAATACTAGGATTATGTGAAAAATATATACTTAACTTTATTTTTTATTATTTCTTCAGACAAAAGAATTCATTGATGGATGCTTGGAAAATGGAGGTAAAAATCTGATTTTTGATTAGCTTTCGTAATGTTTTGCACAAACATAGCTATGGTAATGTACAGTGACTGCTTTGCTTTTATAGGAAAGGTTCTTTTACATGGAAATGCAGGTATTTCTCGAAGGTAAGAACATGATTTACTTTGGATTTATAATCTAATTATCATGCCCTCCCTTTAGAGGAAGCTTAGTGATTTCACTTTTTTTCTTCCCTTCCTCCAGTGCAGCCTTGGTGATAGCATATATTATGGAAACATTTGGTGTTAAGTATAGGTAAGCTATGAAAAGAAATCTGAAGTTTAAGGTGTTGATGACCATACTATATTTGTTTACTTTTTTTTAAGCTCATTCAAGATTGAAGTTAGATTTCACAATAATATAAATGACATTGAAAGCCAAATGGAGAAAATTATTGAATTAAATTGGAAGAACAGGGCAAGGGGATATTTTCTTCTTTCATGGCACGTGAACATTACTGCCAATGCCAATAATTGTTGCCCATCCTTAATTTGCCCTGAGAGCATGGTGTTGAGCTTCCTCCAACCATTCCAGTTCATTTGTTGTACACCCACAGTGGTACTAATTAGGGTATTTCAAAAATTTGCCTCAAACTATTTAGTAATGATGTTAATAGGTTTTGTGAACAGTCGTCAATACATTGTAAAAAAAAATGTACAGTTTATAACTTCGTATTTCATTACAGTTTCTTTAATTTGGAATAAAATGGAGGAATGAAGCGCGTATGTGATCATAAAACATAGAACAGAACAACACAGGAACAATCCTGAATCTCTGTCTATGCTGACCATGATTCCATTCTAAACTAATGCTATCTGCCTGCACGTGATCTATATCCCTCTATTCCCACCTGTTCATGTGTCAAAGTTCCTCTTAAATGTTGCTCTTATATCTGCTTCTACCACCTCTCCTTGCAGTGGAAAAACAAAATTGCCTGTCACAACTCCTTTAAACATCCCCCTCTCACCTTGAACCTATGCCCCCTAGTATTTGACATTACCACCCTGGGAAAAATGATTCAGATTATCCACCCTATCCATGCCTCTTTTACACTTCTTTCAGGTTCACCCCTAGCTCTGACACTCTAGTGAAAACAATCCAAATTTGTCCAACCTCTCCATATAGCTAAAGCACTCTGATTCAGGCAACATCCTGGTGAACCTCTTCTGCGCGCTCTCCAAAGCCTCCACATCCTTCCATAATGTGGTGACCAGAAATACTCTGAATGTGGCCTAACTAATGTTTCAAATAGCTGTAACATTGACTTGTCAACTTTCATACTAAATACCCTGATTGATGAAGACAAGCATGCCACCTTTTACTACCTCATCCTCTTTCAGGGAGCTATGCACCCCACGATCCCACTGTTTATCAATGCTCCTAAGATATTGCCATTAGCTATATAATGTATTTGACCTCCCGAAATGTATCACCACGCAGTTGTCCAGATTAAACTCCATCTGCAATTTCTCTACCTAACTTTTCAACTGATCTATATCCTGCTGTACCCTATGACGACCTTCTTCACTATCCATGACTGCCATCAATTTTTGAGTCGTCTGCAAACTCAATCAGACCTCGTACATTTATATGTAAAAAACAAAACAACAGAATTCTCGGCACTAATACTTAGGGAGCATGACTAGTGATAAACCCCCAGAAAAGCACCCCTCCATAACTAACTTCTGTATTCTATGACAAAACTAATTTTGAATCCAACTGACCAAGTCACTGTGGATCCCATGTGACTTCATCTTCTGGACCAGCCTATCATGAAAGACCTTGTGAAATGCTTTTGTAAAGTCTCTGTCCATTGCCCTACCCTCAATACCTTCATCGCTTCCTCAAAAAACTCAAATCAAATTTGAGACAAGACTTCCTCCACATTAATCCATTCTTCTCCAAATGCAAGTTAATCTTGTCCATAGGCATCTTTTCCACCATTTTCCCTACCAATGATTTAAGGCTCTACCAGCCTGTAATTTCCTGGATTATCCCTGTTGCCTTTCTTAAACAGAGGAACAGATTTGGCTATTATTCAGTCTTCTGGGACTTTTCCTGTGGCTAAAGAGAATGCAAAGATCTCTGTCAAGACTCCCAACCATCTCCCCTTTGCCTTTCTTAGTATCCTGGGAAAGATTCCATCAGGCCCAGGGGACTGTATCTTAATGTTTTCAAGGCACCCAACACCACCACCACCTTAAAATCGATAACCCCCAGAATATTGGTATATCCCTGCCTCTCTGTTTCTAATCTTGCCATCATCTATGTCCTTCTCTTTGGTGAATTCGATATGGAAATATTTGTTAAAGACCTCACCCATTTCCTGTGGTCCACGCATAAATTCCCCCCTTGCTCCTAATACATGTGTAAAATGCCTTGAGATTCCTGTAATTCCTATTAGTCAAGGATATTTCGTGGCCCTTTTAGTCCTTCTAATTGCTTGAGTTCTTTACTGCTTCCTTTATATTCCTCAAGGGCATTGTCTGATTTCAGTTTACTAAACCTTTATGTATGCTTTCTTTTTCTTTTTGACTAATTATCTCTTGTCGTCCAGAGTTCCCAAATCTTACCATGTTTATCTTTCATCCTCACTCTGAACTCTCATCAGCTGGCCTTTAAAAGACTCCCACATTGTCAGGTTTGAATTTACCCTGAAACAGCTGCCCCAGTCTAATTTCTCCAGTTCCTGCCTAATAGTTTTATAATTAGCCTTTTCCCAGTTTAGCACATTCGCGCGAGGGCTGGTCTTAACCTTATCCCTAACTACTTTAAAACTTATGAAATTATGATCACTGATCTCAAAATGCTCCCCCACTGAAACTTCGATCACCTGGCCAGGCTCATTCCTCAATACAAGGTCAAGTATGGCCCTTTCCCTAGTTGAACTGTCTACTTGTTGTTCCAAGAAGTACTTTTGGATGCATCTAACAACTTCTGCTTCATCTAAGGCTGCTGGAACTAAGGGAGTCAAAGTAAGGGAAATTAAAATCACTCACTGCAACAACCCTGTTTTTACATTTTTCTGTGATTTGCCCACATATCTGTTCCTGTATGGCCTGCTAACTATTGGTTGGCGTATAGTATAATCCCATCATAGTGATTGCACCTTTCTTATTCCTGAGTTCTATCCATTTGGCCTTGCTGATGAGCCCTCCAAGATGTCCTCTTAGTGCAACTGTGTCCTCAATACATCTCCCCTATTCCTTTTCATCTCTCTGTATTTGCCTGAAACATTTAAACCCAGGAACATTGACTTGCCAGTTCTGCCTTTCTCTCAACCAAATTTTTGTAATGATTACAACATCGTAATTCCATGTACTAATCCAGGCTGTAAACTCAGCTGTATTACCTGTTATGCTCGTTGCACTAAAATAAACAGAGCAGACTGCCAGTCCCATGATGCTCATTAGCCTGGCCCTGCCTGTTCTTTCCTTTCTTCTCAATCACTCAACATGTTGACGTAATACTGTGGTCAACTCCCATCCCAGCCACCCACCCCCCGCCGCCACACAAGTTTATCCCTCCCGAGATCAGTATTGCATTCTCCTGACAACAACAGTAGTGTGATTGTTAAAGACTAAAGGGTAGCCCACGTTTACTTGCTGGGAATAATGTGCAAGATGTTCACATGATTGTGGAATAGTCAGGTTGTAAACTTTTAAACTGTCTGTTTATTTGCAAGGTATGTTCTGCGTTTAGAGTGTAAACAGAGCTAGTCAACATCTCTACCTCGACAGAAGTACAAATGATTCACACAACCATAGCGATTGACTTTGTGAGGAAAAGAATGCATGGGAAGCCACTAAGATTAGATTGCAAGATCCTATTAGAAAGCATCACTGAACCTCTCCAACAAATTAAGAAATGAGATATAAAGGTGACACGTTCACCATGCAAAACTGCAGGTGCGAGCTTGCACTCTGGTTGAAGAAAATAGTTCATGTGGATTTAACCGAAACAGGAAGATTCACTTTGTTTTGGCTGGAGGGAGGAATCCAGGGCAACCCACATTTTAAAAGCCAGTTTGGAAATTAATTGTGATCCTGATGGGTAAGGAAAAGAGGAAGGCAAAGCCTCAAGCTTTGGACTAGTTCTGGGAGAATAAAATGTCTACTTAAAGAACAATTTAAAGTATAATCTTCAAAGAACATGTTCAGTTTATATCTTAAACAGGGAATTTTTTTTAAATAAGTTGCCTACCAAAATATTGTTTAATCATCTCTTTGTTACAGTAAAGTCTTAAAACTTAAAAGGGAATCTAAGGGATTCAATTTTTAAAAAAATGTTATTCATGTCTGTGAATCATAACATGGATTAAAATTTTGGGAGGAGCAATGGAGATGAAAACCCTTTTCACTTATTTTAAGAACTACTTGTTACTGCAGTAGATGATTTTAGAATCTTTCTGGGTGAATGAATTAAGTTGGGTCAAATCGCCTCACTCATTCTAATGATGTAATTGTGAGTGCAGTGAACCAGATTACAGTGATTCAAGAAGGCCATTCGCCACCACCTTCTCGAGCAAGTAGGGATAGGCAATAGATGCTGGCCCAGCCAATGATACCTACATCCCATAAGTGAATTGAAGAGAATTGAACATTTCTGGTTAGTTATAATATAAGTTGTGGAAAGTGTTGTCAAATTGTAGAAGCTCCTGTCCTTGTCCTGGTGTGAGACTAGGCAGTTTCCTTCTTGCTTGCTACTTCCACTGGAATAGTAGACAAGTAGTGTAGAAGAACCAGA